ATTCCTTCGTGTAAAATAGTCTATAAAGGACCCCAAAATCCAAGATGATTCAAACAGTGAAGCGTAGATATGAAATCCTGAAGCAGAGCCCGGAAGCACCGAAACCCGAACTCCCAATTTCCCAGGTTTCCAAATCCACCATTGGGGGGACTTTGTGCTTTTTGGGGGTGTCTGGGGGGGCACCCCCCAGGGGGGTCTGGGGCCCCAGATTCCCCTAAACCCTAAACCCTAAACCCTAAACCCTAAACCCTAAACCGTAAACCCTAAACCCTCCTGGGCGGTCCTGAGGGGCGACCTGCCAATTTCCTGGAAAAGTGGGCAAAGCATCAAGTCTGCCAAACTGCAGAACACAGGCATGAACCCTCGAATACCCTAAGCAGCATATACAACCCAAACCTTACACAAAGCTTCAATGGTCACTTCCTCTCCCGGGTTTAGGGTTCAGGGTTCAGGGTTTAGGGTTTAGTGTTCAGGGTTTAGGGTTTAGGTTTAGGGTTCAGGGTTCAGGGGTTAGGGGTTCAGGGTTCAGGGTTTAGGGTTTAGGGGTTTAGGGTTCAGGGTTTAGGGTTTAGGTTTAGGGTTCGGGGTTCAGGGTTTAGGGGTTTAGGGTTCAGGGTTCCCAGCCCAAAGACACCCTAAACCCTAAACCCTAAACCCTAAACCCTAACTAAAGATTCGGTGAGGCCAGGCGCTGTGGTTCAGCTTCTCAGGGCGCGAAGCTGGAAAGGCCACGGCTCCAGGGCTTCAGGGCGCAGCTTCTCATTCTTGTTCTGCATAATAAGGGTTTAGGGTTTAGGGTTTAGGGTTTAGGGTTCCTTTAAAGGGATCCTTAAAGGGTTCTTGTAAGGGATCTAAAGTAGGGTGCTAGATTAGGGGCCTTAATCATTGGAATAGGGTTTTGAGGAGCCCCAAAACCCTATTCTAATGATTAAGCCCCCTACCTTCTGTTCGCTTCCGAAGCGCTTGAGTCCTTTCTGCGTTTCTGCTGGAACGGCTCCGTGCAACTCTCCGTGAACTCCCTACATAGAGCCCAAACCCCTAAAGTCCCTAAAGCCTAGCGGCTAGGCTAGCTCTGTAAAACCCTGAAGCGTTGAATCTATTCTCTCTGCATTCAGCCCCAAAGCCCCAACCTTTGAGGCCCTGAGGCCCCAAAACTTAAGAACCCTGGACCCTGGCACTCTACTCTGCAGCCCTCACCGCTCCAAAAGGCGGGAGCCTGAGATCCCTCCAACGACACGCAGCAACGTGATGGCGCTCGTCGTTGGCCGCTGGTCCTGAAAGGCTCCGGTCGGAGCAGACCAGGCCTCATCGGAGGGCGTTGGACCCTGCAGAAGTTGTTGGGGTTTAGGGTTTAGGGTTTAGGGTTTAGGGTTCAGCAGCATCCTTTCCCCCTCAATCCTCCCCTCAGCATCCTCATCCTCAGCCTCGTCATCATGATCATGGCCATCGTCGTCGCCATAACCAGAGATGCTAGACAGATGTGATGCTGCTGCTGGTTAAGAAGACGACTATCATGGAAGTGGCTGTGCCGAGGAGTCGCCTCCATTCTAACGGTCCCAGTGGTCAAGATCGTCACAGGCGCCGTAAGGGCCTGCTTTTTGCCCTGGTGTCGGCTGCTTCGGCTGGCCTCGTTCTGCCTGGCAGGCCTGCCCCCCTATCTGGGCATGATGATGGCTCTCGGTATCTTCTGGCTGGTCACAGAGATCGCTGGATTAGGCACGGGGAAAAGGTCAGGCCACTCCGTTCAGCTCTGGCATAGGACACCTTGCCAGGTGCCGCAGACGACGAGCGCGACGAGGAAGAAGGTGGGCTTCAGGGACTTTGGTGGCCATGGCAGACGAAGCTGCAGCTCTTGAAGTATCTCTTCTTCACTTGCGGTTTGCAGGCTTCGACACTGCCAGCCGCTGGGCTCTCCAATGGAGCTTGTGGATGCTGTCTCTGATTATGCAAGACTGTCCATTCCGGGGCTGATTACACAGACTTGATAATGATTGTTGGGATGTTGATGATGGCCGGAATCGCTCTTCGTCGGTGATGGCATCTCTGTGGTGCTTGCTGGGGCGCGCACGTAAGGCCTTATTACTCTAAGCCCTAAACCCTGCTTTAGACCCCTTTGAGGTGGGGAGCACGTCAAGTACGGCGTGCCTGCCGCCCTCCATAAGGCGGAGCCACTGAGCATGATTTTCCACCACCAGACCCGAAAGTTTCCAATATAGGGGCCTTCATAATCAGACTTTTGGGTCTTATTATACTATAATTATAATAAGAACCCCCAAAATAGAGGTAATTATTAGGTTAGCGCGCTTTTTTTTGCCTGGTAGGTTGGGCTGCTTCAATGTGTGTCTTTACTGGCGGGCGTGGGACTGTTGAGTATAAGGTAGTTTTGAGGCCTCAAAAAACTGTTCCTTACGGAGGTCCACGATTGCTAAGTCTTGATAGTGCTTTGACTATGACTTTACAATTTAGGGCTATTTAGGGCTTGCAGGGCAGCAACATCATC